TGTACAAATATGCTTTACACAATTGATGTGTGTATGGATTGGGATAACAGTTGTATGAGCCCCTAATAAAATGTTTAAAAAAAAAAAAGAAAATCAATTGTTGGGCCACATTGAGTTCATTTTGAAATTAAATCTCAGAGTATAGCTAGGCATTTGTTGTTTTTATTTTCATTTTTAATTTCAAGTTATTCTGTGGGTGATTCCTTGTGGTAAACTTCAGTCCATCTTACACTTTAGAGATGACTTTTCTAGCATGTTGAGGAAGACCCTGTGGTATATTTAGGAAGTAGCCTTTGTTATCAAAATGCTTATATGGTTAGCTGCCATTTTCTATTATGTTATGCCCTATAATGACTATAGGCATTAATTTACTTAGTGTGGTTTTAGCCATGTTTTCTCAGCTACAGGGTTGTTGCCATTTTAGGCTTTGTTGTTAACGAACAAAGATGTCACTTTGAGGGCTAAATTGCGCCTGACCCAAGCCAGGGTGTTTCTTCTTTTTTTTGGTCTCTGTTTTCTTTTCTTTTTAAACTTTGAAATGTTAATTTGGTGAAGGTTTGCAGAGGAGGTTATTTTTCCATTCCATAAGTCTTATGCATTTTTCTTGTTACTGAAGCAACCCCCACAATGTAACATCACTTAAGACCCACTTCTCTGTTTCCTCTTTCCGTTCCTTCTGCTTCCCTAACCCTTCTGAACTTACACTTTGGGTTGTTAACTGCAAGGTCAATGTTTCAAACGTACCAGTCACTCTTTGGGAGAAAAATGAGCTTTTTTCCTTTAAAAATCCACAGCTTCTGGGACCCACAGGGGCAAAATTTCCACAGGGTTTTCCTGACTCAAAATCTCAGTGGCAGTGAGCTCGGTTTGAATTATAGACCTGCCTATTTTTTGTCTGAATATTGAGCCATGGGGATAAATTTATTTTCAGATCTGAAGGGTGACTAAGGGCTGAGTCTCTAGCATTGCACTGGTCTGTATGACCAATAGCTCAGTTCCATCTACTGAACTCCGACTCATAGCGACCCTCTAGCACAGAGCAGAATTGCCCTTGTACAGGCCTCTAAGAGTACAGCTCTTCATGGAACCAGAAGGCTTCTTACTCCATGGAGCAGTTGGTAGTTTCAAACTGCTGGTCCCAAGTTTAGCAGCCCAACAGAGAACCTACTATTCCTCAAGTGCTCAATATCTGAAAAATTGGTCTGATCTTGTTTATGATTTTGAATTTTGTTCCACATTTTTCTTTCACTTTATGTAGGGCCGTCTATTGTGATCCTTCTCCGAGCAGTTGGAAGTGGTAGCGGGTCACCATCCACGTCTTCTGGTCTCAGGGTCATGGAGACTGATGTTCTCTTGGTCTTTTAGACTAATTATTTCCACGTGTCTTTTAATTTCTTCACTGTTTGCTTCACATGGGGAGAGACCAATAGTTACACCATAGATGATTTCTCATACTTTTTCAAAAAAATAGTTAATACAATTCAGTTATTCATTCATATTAAGATTTGTGTAATCATCACTAAGTTTCAGAACATTTTCTTTCTTCTCGAACTCATTAGATCCCCATTTCCCCCTACTCTGCCCTGGGCAATTATCAATCCATTCACTGTTTTCTATAGATCTACCTATAGATCTTTTTACATTTTAAAAATTGCCTCTTGTGCACATGAACGTTGGACAGTGAAAAACACAAGTTTTTACATTTTTACATTTTAAAAATTGCCTCTTGTGCACATGAACGTTGGACAGTGAAAAACACAAGTTACGAAAGAATGGATGCATTTGAATTACAGGAATGGAGAAGAGTATTGATAATACCATGACTGCCAGAAGAACAAACAAACTAGTCTAGGAGAAAGTATAGCTAGATTTTTAATAAAAAAATTTAAAAAGAAGGTGAATTCCAGAACACTTTGTAGTTATCATGTGGAACCTGTTCAAACAGTTTAAAATCAGGAAAAAATATGTCTTTTTACTTTTACTATGCTTATTCAATCGATATGCTGAACATATAATTTTAAGCATCTGGACACTATGAAGACTGTAATGTAAGGATTAGAGAAAAATTCATTAACAACCTGTATCATGCAGATGACGACAACCTTGTTTGTTGAAAGCAAAGAAATTAAAAAAAAAATTTTTTTTTTTAAAAAGCAGGAATGATGGGACTTGGATATGTAATCAGGAGAGACCAGTTCCTGTTAAAGGACATCATAGTTGGTAGAGGGTCAGTGGAAAAAAAAACTATTCAAGGAGATAGATTGACATAGTGGCTGCAACAATGGACTCAAAATAGCAGCAATTGTAAGAAAGGCACAGAACTGGATATTTGACTGTTATACCAAGGTCACTATATCAACAGCACCTAACAATACACTTGTTGAGATGTGTATTGTACAATGCTTACCTGTATCCATGACACTTCCCATTAGTTGCCAATAGCAACTGTGTCTTTGAGTCACTTTCTACTCTTAGTGAACCTGTAGGACAAAAGGATCCCATTGGCTTTCTTAGGCTGAAAATCTTTTAAATAGATTGTTATTTTTCTTCTCATCTGTGGCTTCTTGAGTGTCATTCGCCATGATGAATGACACAGTGTCTGCACCAGGAGGTTCATGACCAACTGACTACTTCAGCGGAAACAAATGGTCATTGATGTCCTTTACCCTGGGAAAGTGACAGTGCAGAAGAAATTTGTGAAAAACTAGCCAAAATGTACAAGACCACACCAGATGTCCCTTTTGTATTTGAATTTAGAACCCATTTTGGTGGTGGCAAGACTACTGGGTGGGTTTGAACTTCAGTTCCATCAAATGTTCTATACAATTAGGGTTTGTGCCACAGTGGTTAACCAGTAGGTTAGCAGTTTAACATGCCAATGGCTGTGTGGGAGAAAGTTGCAGCAGCTTATCTCTGAAAGATAACAGGCCTTGAAAACATAATGGGGCAGTTTTAGTCTTTTATGCAGGATTGCTATGAGTCAGACTTGGCTTGATGGCAAATGTTTGTTTTCTGGAGCAATTGCTTGATCTTTCCATTCCTTTGCGGAAACTTTGCCACCAGGTGATATGTTCCAGTCTCTTCCAATTTTCGTTTCTATCTATGTCCATACATCAAAACAGGAATGGTCCCTACTAGCTAAAAATACTACATTATCCTTATTAGTTGTAGAAATCAGTGCACATGTCTGGTCATTTTGTTTTCCCATTGTTTGCTGGATGCTTCAGACTTTTAGGAGATCTCTATATTTTGGGGATGAGAAGAAGTTGATAAAATTGCAGCAGCTGCTGGTTTGGTGCAAGATTATTGACCATTAACCTTGGAAAGGATATATTGTGTGGTTATTCTTTTTTAGTGTTGTGAATACATACTTATTAGAATATTTGCCTGATTTACTCTTTCAAGATAATTATTTTAGAAAAGCTTGTAAAACTATGCCCCCAATTTAATTGCAAACTTGCTGTCAGAATTTTATGGTTTTATGAATTATTTGATATGATATTATAGTCAATCAGGATTTCAAAATATTTTTAGAGATTTTAGTACTATTTTAAAGATACTTCTGAGATTTGCTTTGTTCTTTAACCTAACTTGGCTAACTAATTTTTGGGGGTTTTGTTTTATTCTAGTGAATTAGTGCCATCTTATGATTCAGCTACTTTTGTTTTAGAGAATTTCAGGTAAGCCTTTTTGAAATGATTGTTTTTTTGTGTATGCAGAAGGGAGTGATTCCTGGGTAGGATAGGATCTAGTGAATGATTTCATTTATTATTAGAAGAAACTAATTTCCTATTAGAAACACAAGACATTTGTCTGGCGTGTGGTTTATCTTTAGTATTGATTACTTCCTTGATTGGACTAAAGGAACCATTTTAAAGAAGAAGACCCTATAGGTCTTTGCTAGACTGAGGAAAGGGAGCAGGATGGCAGAAGGTCTCTGAGCTTTCCTACCGCCCCTCAGAAATAGTCTAGGAAAAGCTCCACGAGGACCCTTTCATCTGTGCTCACAGTATGAGTGCATGAGTGACCGTTATTGAAAGAAATTTGTGAGTTTTGTATATGTATTTAAATTTTATAAGCCTTTACTAGATTTTTTTCTCTAAGATTATCAGCAACATCTTAAATCACAAAGGCCCTAAGGACTAGCGTGGAAATGACCATTAGAAATTAGAAATACAGGGTCTTGCCTTGGAAAGAGAAATTCTAAATAGGTGAAACCAATTATCCAAACAAAAGCAAACTGCCAGAACCTGCACATTCCTTGATTTTTTTTTCCCTTATGAGTTAATTTTGTATTTAAAATACCATTCTTAAGATTTCCCCAACATTACTTAGGCTTATCATATATTCTTCTTGCTTTTCCGTATTACAAAAGGATAAGTATAGTTCAGTGTCTTAGGAAGTAACATACTGTGTGCGTCTGTGTAGTTGAATGACTGGTGAAGCAATAACTAAACTCAGGAGACTCTTGTTTCCTTTTCCCTTAATTGTGCCAATTTTGAGGTGTTTGTGTCCCCTTCACCCTGAAACCTGAAAGGTATTGCTGAATCTTTCAGTGTCATTAAATTTGCCTATTTCAGAATGTTAAGTATTTCTAAACATACACAGTGGAGCCTTGAATTGTTCTGTCACCATCAGTTACTTGTCAGGTATAACGTATAACAATAAATATGTGTAAGTGTATAATGTAAGTTAAGTGGTGGGTTTCGGTTTTTCTCTTTCCATTGTATAGTTTTGCTCTTGGGATTTGATTGGTTCTCTTTGTCTTTAGCACTTTGCGCCAGAGAGCAGATCCTGTTTACAGTCCACCTCTCCAAGTGTCAGGACTTTGCTGGAGATTAAAAGTTTACCCAGTAAGTTTTTCATATGTCAAGTTTGTAAACCAGGATCTTAATTTCTGGGTTCTGTAGCACAAAAGTTCACTTTTGAGTGGTATGATAACAGTTTTATGTTTTGTTTTCAAATAGGTATGTTACTACATCTACAGAAAAAAAATAAACTAAATATGAATAGTATGAGCCCTACATCTCATTGAATTTTATTTTTGAATTTTAGAATTAAAAGGAATAATTAAAATTATTATTAACAATAAAAATACATAGATACAGAAAGCTATCTAAAACCAATGTATGTTGACTGCATATTCATTGTGCATTTCCTAATGTTTATTTTACCTATGTCTTTCCTGAAAATTGGCCTTTTTGAACAAGTGGCATGATGTGATATGGATTAGATGCCTATGGTAAAAATATAAGCATGTTAGGTTGCCCCACTTTATGTGATATTAGCAGATATTGATGTTCAATGCTTAGATCTGTTAATTTCTTGGGAATTGTATCATAGGGGTAATTACCTTTTTGTCAATTCCTTTTCAATTATTAGTTGGAATACTTTTATAAGGAGATATTTTTTTTCACCTATTATTTGTTCAAATAGGAGAGGCAGAATAAACGCATGAGTTTTTTTTTGCCAGATTTTCTTACTAATCTCTGAAGGTAAACAGATTTTAAATATATGTATATATACATATATATTTTTATGAGTCTGTAGATTTATATATATTTAATTGTATGTAGGAACCCTTCTGCCATGACTCTAGTAGACATTTTTAGCTTTCTTACTCTCTCTGACAAGATGGTGGGGAGGGGCCCATCTTGCACATTTCCCAAGTTTGAAACCACCAGCCAGCTCTGTGGGAGAAAATCTGCTCCCAGTTGTACCCTGTCTATAGGGTTGCTATGAGTCAGCACATACTCGATGGCAGTGAGTTTAGTTTAGGGTTTTTTTTTTTTTGGTAGGGATGTTACTCTGCATTCCTCTTTTCCTTTTTTTAAATTGTAGTAAATGTGTATATAACAAAACATTTCCCATTTCAGCATTCTTCGTATGTACAGTTCAGTCACATTAACTAATGTTTACCTGTATGTTACTGACTGTGCTACAACATTCAACTGTGTGGATCATCAAAAACAATGATAACATCGTAAAGCAGGGAAATTCCAGAATACATAATTTTGCTCATTTGGAATCTGGACAGAGACCAAGAGACAGTTGTTCAAACAGAACAAGGGAATAGGTTTGAAATCAGAAAGGGCATTATGCATCAGGGTTGTACATATTCCATCTACATACTGAGAACATCATCAGAGAAACTAGACTATGTTGAGAACAATTCAGCGTCAGGACTTAGGAAAGCTCATTAGTAGAATCTGTGATGTTCAGATGAAAGTGAAGAAAAGACTTGAAGCATATCCTGATGAAGATCAGAGTAGTCTTCCGTATGAATTACATCTCAACATAAATTAAACAAAAATTCTGGCGTTGAGAGCAGTAAGCAACAGCATGATAAATGGAGAAATAATGAAATTGTTAAAGATTGCATTTACTTTCATCTATAGCCAGTGCTTATGGAAGCGGCAGTCAAGAAATCAAATGATGTATTGCATTGGACAGATTTGTGTTGTGATCTCCTTAGAGCAGTGGTTCTCAACCTTCCTGGTGTTACCACCCTTTCTTATAGTTCCTCATGTTCTAGTGACCACCCTCCCCCCAATGATAAAATTATTTTTGTTGCTACTTCATAATTGTAATTTTGCTACTGTTAAGAGTTAGGTGTGAAGGCTGAGCATGTTAGTGGGACAAGAGGAAAGTAAAAGGAAATAGAGGAAAGAGCTAGGAGGCAAAGGGCATTTATAGAGGTCTAAATAAAGGCATGTACATATGTAAATATAGTTATATATGAGGATGGGAAAATAGATATATGTGCATGTATTTATAGGGTTAGTCTTAAGGTAACAGATGGACATTGGGCCTCCACTCAAGTACTCCCTCAATGCAAGAATACTTTGTTCTGTGAAACTGGCATTCCATGATGCTCACCTTCCCGACATGATTGCTGAAGACAAAGCTGGTGCACAAGCAAATGTGGTGAAGAAAGCTGATGGTGCCTGGCTATCAAAAGATATAGCGTCTAGGGCAGGCATCCTCAAACTGTGGCCTGCGGGCCACATGTGGCCCGCTGAGGCTATTTATCTGGCTTGCCTAGTGTTTTTTCCCCATTTGTTTTTTTCCTTCAAAAAAAGATATGTGCGGTGTGCAAAAGGAAGGATTTGTATTGTAGTTTTTTTTTAATCTATAGGCCAGTCCTCCAATGGGTCTGAGGGACCGTGAATTGGCTCCCTGTTTAAAAAGTTTGAGGATCCCCTGGTCTAGGGTCTTAAACACGTTAAGGTAAACAAGCGGCTACCTATCTGAGAAGCAACAAAGCCCACATGGAAGAAGCACACAAGGCTGTGTGATCACAAGGTGTCAAAGGGATGAGGTTATCAGGCATCAAAGAACAAAAAATCCTATCATTGTGAATGAGGGGGAGTGCGGCGTGGGGACCCAAAACCCATCTGTTGGCAACTGGACTTCCCTTTGCAGAGGGGTCATGAGGAGAAGACCCTCGGTGCGGTGCAGCAACGATGAACCTTACAACTCTCCTCTAATTCCTAAATGCTCCCCCCACCCCCAGCCCCCACTATCAATGATCCCAATTCTACCTTACAAATCTGGCTAGACCAGAGGATGTACACTGGTACAGATAGGAACTGGAAACACAGGGAATCCAGGACAGATGATCCCTTCAGGACCAGTGCTGAGTGTGGTGATACCAAGAGGGTGGACGGAGGGTGAGGTGGAAAGGGGGAATCCATTACAAGGATCTACATGTAACATCCTTCCTGGGGGATGGACAACAGAAAAGTGGGTGAAGGGAGATGTTGGACAGTGTAAGATATGACAAAATAATAATTTCTAAATTATCAAGGGTTCATGAGGCAGGGGGGAGCAGGGAGTGAGGAGGAAAATACGCTGATATCAAGTGCTCAAGCAGAAAGCAAATGCTTTAAGAATGATGATGGTAACAAATGTGCAAATGTGCTTGACATAATGGATTATGACGAGTTGTACAAGCCCCCAATAAAATGATTTTTTTTTAAAACAGTAATTTTGGTGACTGGCAGTTGTGTTATTTTGTGATTGCCACGACAATTTCTTCATCACCCTAAAACAAAGTTCTTTTGCTTCCTTTGTAGTCAGTCTCTCCTCTATTTTGCCTCTTTGTCCCTTTGGTGCCACTGATGTGTCTGTCTTCAGGATACTTTACTTCTTCTAGAATTTCTTAAAAGTGTGATCATTACAGTATAGTCCTTTATGTTTTTTTTTTACTTGATGTTTCATTAATGTGTTAGCATTTATTAAGTCACTATTCGACATCAGTCATTGAAGAAAGCTGCCTCTGGCCCATTTGGAGCAAAGTGAACTAGAAATGAAGTAATTAAGTACTATATTGCAGTCATCTCAGTAGACCTCGAATAGAATAATAGTGTACTGACTTCAGTGGTCACAATCTGTTAAGGGAACAAATATTAAATAAGTGGTTATAATTGAGATGATTTAAAAATAAGTATGAGTAGAGAGAGTGCTGTGGAAATTGGAAGAAGAGTAATTGTTTTTTTTTAAACAGTAATTGTAAATTCTGCAGTAGGGGTTTAAACTTCTTTTTAATCCCAAGAAAGAATCTTACATGTAATCTTAAAAGTTAAACAGAAAGTGATACTTAATTGCATTCACCAGCAAGCTTTAACTTTATCTTTCTTACTCTTTTTTGTTTTTGGTCTTACCTTATTTTTTCTCTCACTGATATTTAGTGAAACCAGTATTTATTAGCATGCTTCCTTTGTGCTTTTCTCTTTTCTCAAAGGTAGTTTGTAAGAGTTTTGTGTGTGTTAAAACTGTTAGCCCTTTTCCTAGTCATTGGTAGCTTATGTTTTTACTTTTAATATATAAAAGTTCAAAATTATTAGCATCTTTGGTCTTTTAATATCTTTTATTGCTTTTTAAGCTTAGATGTTATTCTTGATTTATAGTTCAAGTCTGAATCTATTTTTGTTTGTTTTATTGTGGGTTTGTTTTTGCATTTAACTTTTTATTGATCTCAAATATGTATTTATGTACCTCTTATTTTACAGGATGGAAATGGAGTTGTTCGTGGCTACTACTTATCTGTCTTTTTGGAACTCTCAGCTGGCCTGCCTGAGACATCCAAGTAAGATATGTAATTAAATTCATAAGAGTCCATTGATTATTTTTGTCATTGCTGTGTTGTTATGTCTGTTTTAATGTTCCTTTCTATAAATCTCTAGTGTGATGGCATAGAGTAGTGTGGGTTATATAGATATTTTCTGATATAGAAATAACTTGAGATATTTCAAATTTTTAAATTAATTGACTTTAAAATAATACTAAGCCTTTTCAATAATTGTACAAACACCCTTTGTAATGAAACTATATTTGAGAAGGGAATATTTCAGGTTATTTGAGGATGGCAGTGAGCTTTTGTTTTTGTTTTAAATTTAAGCAGGGAGTAGGACTTTCCCAAAGGAGGTGGTGCAGATGATCAAGCACTGGGCTACTACTAACTGAAAGGTTGGTAGTTTGAACTCAACATCAGAAGAACTGCTTCGTGATCTGCTTTTGAGAGATCACAGCCTTGAAAACCCTATGGGTGGCAGTTCTGTTCTGAAAAACATGGATTTGCCATGAGCTAGAATCACTGTGATGATAACTGGTAAATAAGATTGTATGTTTGATAGTTAATTCTGTTCAACCAAAAATTTTAGTCGGAATATTCAAATTTAAGGTTTTAGTTTTAGAAAATTGGCGTTGAGGTGCCATGTGAGTAATGTAACATGGATTAATTTTCATATATAATAGCAACACAGATAGTATATCTCTATCATAGTCTTATAGCTGAGGAAGGTAAAAAAATGATCTTTATTCTTCAACATTGTATTCCTTCTCTTCCCAAACAGCTTCTTTTTTCAGAAACTTTTCTATTTAAGCTTTTACATGTACTTGATCCTCAGTGTACTTAAGCACATATATTAATGATTTTTTAACCAAAGTTCTCAGGATTCTTGACTGTTGCTCTAATTATTTGTCTTTAAGTTATGTAGTGTCATTTTGAGCAGAAATCTTATTTTGTGACAATTTATATTTGTGTGAAAAATGAAATGTTATTTCTCTGAAAATTTCCCCCAAGTTTTGGACTTTAGAGTAACTACTTCAATGAAAGATACTTATTGCTTTTTAACCTCAAAAACATTGTATCCTTAGTAAGTAAACAAACCTAACACAGTTCAGAAATACCTAAAACTTTAGAACTGTGCCCGATCTGGGTCTGGCATTAGATACGCTCTAGTAGTAACAGTACAGTAGTAGTGGCCAGATCTTGGCTTCTAAACACCATATTTCCAGTCAAATGAGCCAAGCCATTTTGGAGCCATGATTAAACCTCGAGCATCTAGTGGTATCAGAAAAGCAGGGAAATGCACAAAAAGAAAGAGAAAAGAATAAGATCATAGTGATAAATATAACTGACTGAATAAACAAGGAGAGTGGACAACTCTCTTTGTAGAAGAAATCCAGTTAATTAATGACAAGTCAAAACTGAAAAATTGCCAGCTGATGGGATTAAAATAAGGAGCCATGACAACTGAATGCAAGGGAGGAATATCCTAGATTGGATCTTGAAGTTGAAAAGGGACATTAATGGAAAATGGGTAAAATCTGAAGAAAGGCTACAGTTTAGTTAATAACTTTATGCCACTGTCAGTCTTACTGTTTTGACAATTTTATGTTCATTTAAGATGTTAAGATGAGAAGGTTGGGAAAGGCTATGTTACAACTTTGTGTTGCCTTTGCAACTCTTTTGTAAGTCTTAAGTTATTTCAACATAAAAAGCTAAACACATGGTGGCCTGCTCGGGGAAGCAGTGGAGTCCAGCCTGGCAGCCATGGACTAGGAGGCCAGTGGCCTCCTAGAGATCAATGAGACCCTGGTGACCCAGCAGCATGCGGTGTACATCTACGACGGCAAGGAAAAGTAGAGTAGTGGATGTTTCTGGAAGGAGTTCAGAACCCCTAATTACACTGGAGATGGAGCAAAAAAAAACTGGGTCCGGCCATGGCTGCCTTTTTGCTAGGAGAATCCCGTGGCTGTAAACCAAGCCCAGCTCAGCGGGAGCTTTAGGTGGGCCCTTCTGGGAGCCCATATAGATGATAAAATCCAACCCTGGGGAAGGAAGAAGTTAAAAGTTGACGCTGGGACGCTTCTCCTTAGTACACATTGACTGATTTGGAGAGATCAGAAAAATCATGAATGCTATATGGCCATTCCTCTTTGTCGGTTTGTGTTCATTGAAGAACAGGCAGCTGGAATTGGGAAAAGTGCCAAAATAGTGGTTCATCTTCACCCAGCTCCACCTAACCAAGAACATGGCCCATTCCAGAGCTGTAAGAATTTCTACATCAAATTCTCCTTCAAAGAACATGGCCAGATTGAGTTTTACAGGTGCTTCTCGGAGGAAATGACCCAGAGAAGATGGGAGAATATGCCGGTTTCCCAGTCATTACAAACAGAGGGTCCCAGCCAGGGAGAATAAGGGCTGTAGGAATTAGAGGCATTGAAAGAAAACTGAAAGAAAAGGAAAAGAAACAGACGAAACCGTTTCTGAAGGCTTTGAAGACTTCGGCAAGCTCATGATCAAGGCAAAGGAAATGGTGGAGTTATCAAAATCAATTGCTAATAAAATTAAAGACAAACAAGGGGACATCACAGAAGATGAGACCATCTCGTTGAACTCCTACTTGTTGAGCATGGGAATAGCTAACCCAGTGACCAGAGAAAACTACAGCTCAGGCACACAGTACCACATGGAGCTGGCCAAACAGCTGGTCGGAATATTGCAGGTGCCTTTAAAGCAGTGATTCTCAACCTGTGAGTCGCGACCATTTTGGGGGGGTCGAACAACCCTTTCACAGGGGTCATCAGATTCATAACAGTAGCAAAATTACAGTTATGAAGTAGCAACAAAAATAATTTTATGGTTGGGGGGTCACCACAACATGAGGAACTGCATTACAGGGTCACAGCATTAGGTAGGTTGAGAACCACTGCTTTAGAGGAATGAGGGGGCATAATGTCACTGACAGAGGTGAACTGTCTAGTAAACCACACTCAAGGGAAGGAGTTGCTGTCACCTGAAGATTTGGTGAATGCCTACAAAATGCTGGATGCCCTGAAATTACCTCTCAGACTCTGTCTTTGATGATTGAGCTTCCGTTGCGCAAGGAAGAGGAAATGGTGGTCTCAGCCCTAGAGGTGGTTTCAGAAAAGGGATCCATAACGTCGGAAGAGTTTGCAAAGCTTGTGGGGATGTCTGTCCTTGTTGCCAGAGAAAGATTGCTTCTTGCTGAGAAGATGGGCCACCTTGTCCAAGACAACTCTGGAAGGGTTGCAGGTTTATCCCAGTTTATGACCCAGGGCTAAGGGTTTTTGTATTTGGAATAGCTCTCATCCACAGACTTGTGCCACAGGCAGGTTGTGCATGGTGTTGAACTTAGAGCTAAACCTTGAGAAACCAAGAATCCACGGGGCTTTTGTCATTTAATATAAAACTCTTAATTCCTTTCTAAATATTATGGTCCAGGAAGCTTACTAAGAATAACTTACAGGAAAACAGAGATAAATGGAATACCAAGGTAAATTTGAAACCATGTTGTGGAGGACCAATATTGAAATTGTAATTTGGTGGGTTATAACTTGATATAACCCCTTTCAAAGAAGGGAATTTAGCTCAAGGGGCAGGAAAAAGGAAAGCTGCATCCTTTGGCGGTTGGACTATCGCTTTGGGGTCACTGAAATTCTCTGAATTATAAATTAGGTATCCTGTGTCTATTGTTCTTGCTTCGGGGGTCCTCTCGGAGTAAGTCCTATACCTACAGTGCAGAGTTAAGAATATGGACCGGCACAGCTAACTCCCTCACGTGGAGTTGTACATCTCCTTCCGGCAGAACCAATAAAGCACTGTAAAAATTTAAAATAAAATAAAAAAACACATGGCATTTTGAAAAGAATAGTTACTTAATACAACCAATGAAACTATTCATGATGTCTTCATTGGTTTAATTCATTTAGAGTAATCATGCATTACATTAGTATATAAATGTTTTAATCCTTACTGGTTTCTCAAGATTGACATTAAAGAAAATTGCTTAGTTGAGCAAGAGCTTTATGCAAATATGTAATCGATAGGCAACATGTACAATGTCCCCACAAAGAATTAATTTTCAGAAACTTGTTCTGTGTTTTATTGAACATGTTAGTGACAGCTGTAAATTGATGAAATTCTGACTTTAGAATTATTATAAAACCTTTAATAATTAGCGATTTAAATTCTTTAGAAGAGACAAAATTCAATGATACTATACTATGCATTCACTTTTTATTATTGTAACAAATTCCCACGTAATTATGGCTTTAAGCCATACAAATTTATCTGTTACATAGTTCAGAAGTCTAGGTTGGTACTACTGGTTTCTCTTGAGTTTAGGAAGGTTGAAATCAAGGTTTCAGAGGCGATGTGAAGAGTCTGTTCCCGAGCTCATTAAGGCAGTTGGCTCACTCCACTTTCTTGCAGTTAGAGGGCTAAGGTCCTTGTTTTCTTTCTGTTTGCCAGCTCTGGGCCAAACTTAGTGTCTCTGTCACTTACTACAGCGGCTTCATACGTCTCGGAGCCCTCATGGCTTGTGGAGTCAGACCCTCCACTGCTGGGAATTCTCTGCTTGTCCTTTGCTATTTCTCTCTTCGAAATGGAAAAAGTTCTCTGCCTTTCAGAGAACAGTCTATAATATCCTTATGGACTTTAAGACTATAAAGCTCCTTTGCCTTATAACTTAACATATTTTAGGTTCTGAGGATTAGCGCATTGACATCATCAGGGGCCTTGATTCTGCTTAGTCATTAGAAATGTGTAAAGAAATGAATAAAACTTTGGTTTTACATACTTTGTCTTTGTCTTTTTTATATCAATGGGGTCATACAAGCATTTCTTATTTTCTGCACTTGATCTTAGCCAAGAGGCTGAGAAGCTATTTGTATTTCTCATTCTTTGAATGAGTTGTTACACTCATAATGTCTTTGAGGTCCATCCACATTGCAGCATGTATCGAGACTTCAATAATTCTGCTGGCTGAGTAGTTTTCT